TAGTACATCAGTTTCTCTGAACTTTGCGATTCTCCTAAAATGAGCTGTCTCCGAATCTGACACCATACACTATTTTCCAAATAATTGCCATCTTCGGCCCAGGTTGCACCATCTGAACGTTGGGGTCGCATACTAATTTCAACTCAGAAACCCGTCTTCCAAACAACAGGAAATACGGGCGATACCTCCGGCTGAAAATCGGGTCAGGTTTCTTGGAACGCGAAAGTCACGATTTGTTTAAAACAACTAAAGATAAATTGAATGGCAAGAATACCAATACAGATAAACGAAAACACTGGACACAGGAAACAAACAAAATAAAGTAGAAGTTGACACTGGTATTTTTTTTTTTTTTTTAGATTTTACATGTATTATGCTTATTTTTTCAGAGTGTACACGTGTTTTTAATGAAACGGTTATTCTGTATACACGTTTAATGAAGACGAGATTAATTCATTTGTCATTTTATGAATAGGAATTTATCGAAATAATTAGTATTCAAGTATTCACAACATTTTCAGTAATCTCTTGTGGAAATAATAATTGAGAAATAAACAGATGTAAAGTAGAAAACAGTGGTCTTTCAAATTGTGTTAAAGATACCAGTGAATGCTACGAAAATAAACGGATGTCACACAATGGGAACTACGCGGCGCAACAGGTATCTGACCACAGAAACTTGAAGATGACGAGTTACTCTTGATGCTGCAAAGGTGTTTCCTTCATCTTTATAACTATTTATAAATTTCATAAAAATGCCTTTGTTGCACCGAAGACAATTAGTTCATTCAATTTTACATACACATGGAACTGGCTCTTGTATAGTAAATCCTCAGGCCTTTGAGTAAAACGTTCATTTCTATTCCATGGCTTTTTATCTAAAAACACCGTTGAGGGCAACATGAAACAAACTAAAAGAATATAGTGTAACTTAGAGGGCGCTATTTATATCCTGTAGCACGTTAAGAATTCATCTGTCCGCTGACCATGTTTGCCATTGAATAGGGTTAAAATTACAAGAGAAAAACAAATTTGCAAGATTAAAAAAAAATAAACGCAAGCATAAAAGTAAAGATCTATCTTGCCCAAGGATAATTATGTGTTGTCTTTTGTATGTATAATAGGGAATGTGTTGATTACCTATATTGAACACAACATGGTGCAGCGGCCACCACCTTTTAATTCGATATTAGAATCTATTATAGAGCATATACAGTACATGCAACTTTACTCAAGTTGGTGGTTCACTTCATATAGAGCACATAGGAACATGTATATTGTAGGATTGTACACAATCCATCATTGTAGAATTGTGACAAGCTACAAACCGATACATCGCGAGTTTGCCTAAAATTACTCTTCAAGTGGTTATACATTTAAATGTACTTTGTAATGCATGTACTTTGATATTTATATGTAAATATGAAGTATGTCTTAGACTGAAGCCGGTTTCATTCTTATCTGCAATCAAAGTAAAGGAAAGGTGAACAAAGCCAACATTTATTTTTGGAGGGAGGGAGGGTTGTGTCGGGATAGTCAAGTGAAAGCATCATCTAGACCAATTGGAGCCACAATGCAAGACCCCTCTGTAGCCTTAATATATTATTATACCAGTTGTTATTACCAACATGGAAGAGATACCATACAAGTTTTGCCAAGCACTAGAATAACATCTTACTGCAACACCTTTTTTTTCAAATCTTGTAGGCATAAAGTCAAATGGAAGTCGGCAAAACATTGATAAGACAAACATACATGTATACACACACACACACACACACACACACACACACACACACACACATACTTGTATTGCAATATGTTCCGAGGACTTCATTGGATTAACTTTTAATATAGTTGAATTAACTTTTAATATAGTTGCGATATGAACTCGATTAAAACGCGTTCCTATATAGGGTTGCGTTTTAATTGGAGTTTAATTAAACTCAATTACAATGCAATACAATGGAGAATTGCATTTTAATTAAGTTTAATTAAACAAGAGTTGAATATCCGGTGACTGAACATAGAAATGTTT